GGGTCTAGGCCCGAAACGTCAGCTTTCCTGCTCCTTTGATGCTGCTTGGCCTGCTGTGTTCATCCAGCTCTACACCTTGTTATCTCAGCATCATAACATGATACATTTAGTCATCTCATCTCATTTGTTGACCACAGTTAGTTAACAACATGGGACCCTTTACCTTTTTAGGGTTGCATGCTTATTTTGTAATGTATCAAAAACTTGTTAGGATAATTTTCAATGTTGTAAATGTATCCATTGACGGTTCAGCCCATATTACAGTGACCAAAGCATTTATTATCTCTTTAAAACCTCCTTTATTTCAATTTAAATCCTTAGTTTGAAACTCTGTTTTGTCTGTATCAAGCCTAACATCAAATTGTATCATACAGCGTAGTCTTGATTTTCATTAGGATCACATACCTAGAACACATCTCAAACAGTGAATTTAGAAGCAGCAAGCATATTTTTTAATGGAAGTAAATGATTTCTAACCATCCCAAATTTTGGTACAAATAGTATACAATACACAGTACACAACACTCAATGAAATACAATGTTTCAAAAAATATAAAGATATTCTATTGGGAAAATGATGTAACAAACTAAGAAACATAAAATTTGCCACATTGACCACAATTATAGGCTATCTAAGTGTATGTGCATGGGCTCCCATGCAATATGGCAACAGATACACATGCAGTACACACTTTCCAGTCCCAGAAACACAGTTTCATGCCATAATAGAAGATTTTTCAATTGTTTGACATCTTCTGAAAATTTCTTCAATTTTTTGTTGTTAAAGGCTGGGAGTATCTGAACATTGGACCTGCAATGGGTAAAATTGTGTGCTGAACACTTTGTGCTGATAAGCAAATTCATGAATGGTGAAGATGTGAAAAATGGAATTTCACTGTATTATGTTCATTCTTTGTAGGACTTTTAAATTTGCTGCCAGATTGTCAGCTGATTCTGATTTATTACCCATCACAAAGTATGGTGTAGCTCATTTTATGAAGTCAGCTCTAAAACAAGTCGCTGTAGAAACAAAGTGAATTAATCAAACTTGTTATTTAGTTGCTGCATTTGAGGTGATGAGAATACATAGGTCAGTTTGTAGCTGCTTACTTTTATAATGCGAAATACATTTGGTTGTCGGCTGGAGAAAGGAGGAAAATAGTGTTGGACAGTTAAGGAGCATGTGACATAACATAATCTTTAAAAAGGAGGATCAAGCTCTCCAGAAGACTCATAATTGGAATCAACCCCAAGTAAATTCATTTTGAATTTCCAGTTTCTTTATTACTTATGCATTTTTCTTTGACTTGCAGTTTTTAATCTGGGCGAGTACCGCCGTGAAGCTGTGAAATCATACAAGTCATTTGAATTTTTCCGTCATGATAATGAAGAAGCTATGAAAATCAGGAAGTAAGCAAATTTTCCTGTCTCATGCTGAGTACAAAATATTTAATATCTTGTCCAAAGAAAGATGTAGGTAATTAGTATTGGAGTAGGCTTGCAGTATGCTACTGAAGTAATGTTATTTTTTCACTTGGCAATTTCCCCTCATGATTCCAACTGTTCTGAAGACATGTAGTTTCCTGGACATGGGCGATGATCTTATTTAAGTGCTGTGCCCCATTCATATATATACTTCAAGCTCTTCAGCTACTGGGTACATCACCCACTGAGTTGATTCATATTCATGCATGTTTTTCTAGCTATCAGAAGCTGGAATCTTAGTTGACATGGTGTTCTGGAGCACTGAATTTGTCACAAACTTGCATTTATGTTTGTTTCTTTATAACCCCTTCACAGAAATGTTGAGAAAATCCGTATCAAGCATAAGAGCATGAGTGTAGTAGGTCTTATCAAAAGATTGGTCAAAGGAGTGAATTTCAGATCAGATCTCAAAGAATATTAAAAGTGGTGAGAATGGACAAGTAAGTTAACAGTGTTGAATTAAGCGCCAAGGGCTAGACAATTCAGAGTTTGAGTATGTAATTGTACACAATTTGAGTGGAAACAACTTACTTCAGCCAAAACTTAAATTACCCTTGGATATTAGTGATCTGTTAAGTTGAGCACTTGTTGAGTCACTGCAGAAATGAATTAACACTTCCACTGAAATTGTGAAAGAAGTGTGCTCTGTACCGTGTTCTTTTTGTGTGGTTTATATCAGAATATGAAAAGAAAAGGACATGAACTCAGTTTTCATTATCCCTGTACATTTCACACCAGAACTATCAAAACCTGTGACAAGCCACTATTTTTCCTTTTAGTTGGAGGTGACTACATCATGAAGCTCACTGCAGAAAGGGGAAAAACAAAAAGGATTACAATTGTTCAATTCACAGGAGATAAAACAGTGACTAAGAGATTCAGTATATTCCCACAATGTTGGGAAAACATTAAAGGGCAAAAGGCTTACTGTGTTAATAGAATACATACTGTGCAGGATTGTCCAATTTCAAAATGCATGTTGTAGTGTTGAATAGTCAATTTACATGCTATTTGCTATCTTATGATTTACAGGGCTAATCTCATGAAAACATTACTGAACTTCATTGTAGACATTTAGTAATGTCATGAAACAGCATCTAGCCTTCTAGACGGCATGCGTGAAATTTGAAAAGGCACTACTATGAGCACTATGGAGAGCACTGCATATCATTCTTACAGTATGTCAGTGCTGCAGAGTTGCTGTGGTTTTATTGTGCCTGTTCCACTTTTGCGGAGAGATGCTTGGCAAATCCTAGCATTCCTATTCAAAATCCACTCAGTTATACAAGAGCTATTTGTTCAAATATTAATTTTCCCTTTGCTTTCAATAGACAGTGTGCCTTAGATGCCTTGAAAGATGTGAAAATCTACCTCACAGTCGAAAAGGGACAGATTGCAGTAAGATGTTTTAAAATTGTTTTACCTATGTTGGGAACCTATTATTTTATGTCATTTATTTTATTTTGATATTCAGCAAACAAAGAATAAAAGTGTGCATTTAGACTACTTCATTGAAACATAAAATGATTTTCTTGCTATAGTTTCTATTGCATACATTTATAACTGGTTCTAAGCAAATACATGAATTAATTTTATACTTACTGAATTGTTTGTAATAACATAGGAGCTTTACCAGTTTTTTTAGGTTGTATGGACAACAGAATTGAAATGGAATGGGAAATTAATACTACAAGTTGTAATTGAGTAATCTCAAAGCAAAAGAGGAGTTGTGAAAGGCATATCATTTCTGATCATTGTGTTTATCCACTAACCTGATTCTTCACTGTTGGCACTTCCATGCTTATTCTGTTCCATTATGAGTATTGTGTTATTCCTACTCCATCCTTATATGGTTCTCCAATGCTGCACCAAGTTGCTACCCTGTGGTTTGTAATACAGTTTGGTTGATCTCATGGAAGAATCTGTTGAACTGATACGAGATCTGACTCTGTCATTACACTGTATCGGCTAGTCATTCCTCTTGTCTTAAACACACTCCTATCCATCAGTGCGGTGCTGGGCAGCACAACCACCTGGCAGATAATATGGCTAATGGCCTAAGCTGATAGTTTAACAAAAAAATTGAAGTTCCAACTGGAGATATGACTATTTACTATTAATTTTTTTTAAAATGAAGAGTCATGTTCTCTAGTAGCTTTGAGAGTACATTATTTCTATTCATTAAAAATATAATTTGTGTATAGATCTAAATTTAATGTAAATTTTTTTCACCTTTTTCTCTATCTCAGGTCTTTGATGCAACTAACACAACTAGAGAAAGAAGAGATTTAATCCTGAGTTTTGTACGTGATAATGCATTTAAGGTTAGAAATCAGAAGAAGGAGCAAACTCTCTTTTTTTGGTATTAACAGAATAATTTTGACTACTCTGAAAGTAAATGTTTTGTCCAAATGTATCTATTCGACTTAGCATGTTTATTAGCATTATCTTTATTCACTAAATAATTTTGGGAGTTAAAGTAACAAATGATGGAAATGTGGTATAGTGATGATGTTATGGCATTAAAGATTTGAAGTCTCTGGATGACCAGTTCAAGACATGAATTCTAAGATAGTAGGAACTGCAGATGCTGGAGAATCTGAGATAACAAGTTGTAGAGCTGGATGAACACAGCAGGCCAAGCAGCATCGGAGGAGCAGGAAGGCTGACGTTTCGGGCCTAGACCCTTCTTCAGAAAATCTGAAGAAGGGTCTAGGCCCGAAATGTCGGCCAGGGAATTTCAATTTAGTTGGTTATATAATCTATGTTAAAAATTAATATTCGTATTGCTGACTACGAAACCTCTGGATTGTTATAAAACCCATCAGGTTCAGTAATGCTGTTTGGGGAGGAAATCTGCCTCTCTTACCCAGCTACTCCGGGCTGAATCTGACTTCTAATCCAAAGCAATGTACTGCATCCTAACTGTCTTTTGAAATGACGAAGAAACTACTCAATTGTTAAGAAGGTGGCTCATGTCAATGACAGGCAGGGATGGGCAATAAATACGGGCTTTTCCAGCAACAGCCAAATCCCATGAGTGAATAAAAAATTGAAATGTCTTTCAATGGAGTCTAGCGATGCATGCATTTGTGGAAAAGAAGGTTCTTAGTGAATTCTTCATGAATTTCTGATAAAAGAAACCTTCTTTACCAAAGGTTTTGCATATTTTATAGAAATTGACTGTAACTGCTATCTGCTGTGGCATTTTGAGACCCTTGTTTTTATTACAGACCTTAGTACTAATCATAATCTAAATGCTGTATGGTCTTTAAATGACGAAGACCTTTTAAAGAACTTTTAAATTAATGTAACTACTGTGATGAAATAATTCCCTAGTTTCTAACATCGTCAATTTATTATTTGGAGCATTGATTATCAGCAATTATTAAGTGATTTTAACTAACTGTTTGATTAAGCAAGAATAACTTTTTTCCCAGGTGTTTTTTGTTGAATCTGTCTGTGATGATCCAGAAGTCATTGCTGCAAATATTAAGGTATGTGGTAGCATCCAGAGATTTATCCCAATAAGGACCTAACAAACTATTTTCTTGTAAAAGAAATTCCATCATCCCAGCCACAGTAAATAATAGCAGGTAACTGTCAGATTTTTTTGTTTTTTCTCCTCTCTCTTCATGACAAAGAGTTTGGCGTCTATTTGACTTTTCTGCACATTGTCAAAGCTGATACTGCATGGTATGTAGAAAACACTATTACTGTGGGCCTCTAATGTTTAGATTTTGCTACCTTGTCATGCTGAGTGTCATCAGGTTACATGTGCTATGAAATCTATGTTTTTATAACAAATATTAAAAGGTTTATAATCAAGTATAATGAATTCTATGAATGGGGAAACTTGTTTTCAGACTGCCAATATGATGCCTCCTGAAATATCAGCATGCAGCTTTCCCATTAACGACATTGATTACATTCACTGCACAGCTTTTTATGCTGTCCTGCTTATTAAAGTTGAAGGAAAGTCTGGAAGTGAGTATTTTGTTTTACATCCTTTCCCCTCATCAGAAAAAAATTACTAAGTAAATTTTAAAGCGGAACCATGAAGCACTTCTGTCATCATGGACAATTCAGAATAGTTTTTTAAAATTCTGTCACCTTACTCCAGTGGTATTAATTACAGCAGTTTTTGAAAGCTGCTTTAGTGGATGTGAGGTAGAAAGTTCAAAATGATAAGGAACCTTGTGGTCCTTTTGGAAACAATTCTGTAGGTAGAATTGCTGATGTATCATCCCTTTAAACCACACCACCCCCAACCCCCCACCCTTCACTGCCAACCTTGTAGCTTGATATTGTGCTCCAGAGGATCTCCTCACATGTTTACTTAAGTATAACCTTAACCATTTGTAGTGGAACTTCTCTGGAATGTGCAGAGCTGAAGGGAGCTTGATATCACTATTGATTATCCATGGTATCAATAAGATCGATATTTTAAAAACAATATTCAAGTCATTTCCCCCATCTCTTGTTTCTTTTTTCTCCTTTCTTTTTGTTTTATATCTGAATGGAGATGCTATGACTTGCAATAAACTAGAATTACAACTAAGGACCTTTTGCTTAAATTATATACCTATTCTGATTGTACAGGCAATTGGTCCCACCAGGAGCAATGACTTCCTAAACATTTATTGATACAATCTCTTTGCCTATCTAACAGCATGTTAGAATTTAGAAGATTCAGTTGCATTATTTATTGCTGATTCTGTATATCTAAGCATTGTCTGATATAGCAAGTATAAGATCTTTCAAATATGTACAGGAGGTGAAGGTATCAAGCCCAGACTATGCAGAATGTGAACAAGACCATATTATGGATGATTTCCTCAAACGAATTGAATGTTATGAAGTCACCTATGAGCCACTGGATCCTGATAATTATGACAAGTAAGGGTTTTAAAATAAACATCAGGTTATTATCAGTGTCTTAAATTATGATCAGCTTATTGTTTAATGTATATGTCCTTGAGTCATTTATGTACAGATGGCCAATCAGGTTTAAATTGGCCTACCACAGAGTAATCCAGTCAGTTCCATTCTCTGCATCTATTCTTGGAGCCTCATAAGTTTATTTCCGTTGAGTGCCCAATCAACTTCCTTTTATCAATATTCATTGTCTTTGCTTCCTCCATGCTCATGGGCAGAGAGTTCCACTACCACTCACTGTAAAAATGTTCTTTCTCACTTTCAGTCTGCACGACTTGCTGAGAACCTGAAATCTATATAGAGTCATGGTGGTCTACAGCATAGAAATAGGCTCTTTGGCCCAATTTGCTCATGCCACTCAGTTTTCACAATTTAAACTAGTCCCATTTGCCTATGTTTGATCCATATCCCTCCATACCTAACCCATCCATATGCCTGTCAAAATATTTCTCAAATGACAAAGTTGTTCTTGCTTCCACCACTACCCCTGGCAGTCCTTTCCAGACACTCACCATCCTCTGTGAAAATATTCCCCTCTGGACTCTTTTGTATCTCTCTGCTTTCACTTAAACCTATGCCCTCTACTTTTAGACTCCTCCATCATGGGGAAAAGCTGTTGGCTACCTATTATCTCCTACTTCTTGTAACATCAGCTATTGGAAGCATTCTTTCCTTGTCTACATTATCCAAACCTGTCATAAACATGAACATATCTGTCACACCACCCCACCAGTTTCCATTACTCTCACGGAGAACAATTCGCACTTCTGTAACCTAACCTTTAACTTAAATCTTGCTTTCTGGTAAATCTGCTCTGCACCCTGTAAAACAAATTTCACTGTTAGAAATCCTGTAGAGACCATTAACTTTTAAAAAGATACCTGAATTTGCAAAACCAACCTAAGAATGACATTACAAGACCAGGTTTTTAAGACTGCTACCAAACATTACTTAGTAAGCCACTAAGACGTTAAACTACCTGTATAATGTGACTAATAGCCCCACACTGCAAATATAGATTATGGAAGATTCTCCAAAAGATTAGTCTTTTTAGGTAAAAGTACACAGTCATTCCTGTTATGTATGTAGTTGGGTGTGTATTGGCCTTGGAAGGGTGGTTTTCTTTATCCATTCTTTTAAAAAAAATTATCCTGACAATGTATATATGTTGGCTACACTGCTTGTATAATAGTTATAATTGTTGGATGTACATTGATAAGGGGAGTATGGAGACAAAGGGAGAGGGATGTTATATATTTAGTTGGGTGTATGTTACCCCTTTGAGAGTGGGTCAGGTGACCTAGAGGCAGGAGCTGGAGGGACCAACTATGGAACTGAGAGGACACACAATAAAGTATTCCTTCATCAAGTTTACCCTCTATCTACCTCATGTTCTGTTTATGGTTGTAGTTAACCATAAACTCAACAATTTCCAGCTTGCAAAGGTGTCATGTTTCTTTGTTTTCCCAAATCATAACATCCAGCAACCATTTATGGTCCTCTTAGAACATAGAACATAGAACATTACAGCGCAATACAGGCCCTTCGGCCCTCGATGTTGCGCCGACCTGTGAAACCAATCTGAAGCCCATCTAACCTAAACTATTCCATTATCATCCATATGTTTATCCAATGACCATTTAAATGCCCTTAAAGTGGGCGAGTCTACTATTTTTGCAGGCAGGGCATTCCACGCCCTTACTACTCTCTGAGTAAAGAACCTACCTCTGACATCTGTCCTATATCTATCACCCCTCAATTTAAAGCTATGTCCCCTCGTGCTAGCCATCACCATCCGAGGAAAAAGGCTCCCACTGTCCACCCTATCTAATCCTCTGATCATCTTGTATGTCTCTATTAAGTCACCTCTTAACCTTCTTCTCTCTAACGAAAACAGCCTCAAGTCCCTCAGCCTTTCCTCATAAGACCTTCCCTCCATACCAGGCAACATCCTGGTAAATCTCCTCTGCACCCTTTCCAATGCTTCCACATCCTTCCTATAATGCGGTGACCAGAACTGTACGCAATACTCCAAGTGCGGCCGCACCAGAGTTTTGTACAGCTGCAACATGACCTCATGGCTCCGAAACTCAATCCCTCTACCAATAAAACCTAACACACCGTACGCCTTCTTAACAACGCTATCAACCTGGGTGACAACTTTCAGTGATCTATGCACATGGACACCGAGATCTTTCTGCTCATCCACACTACCAAGAATCTTACCATTAGCCCAGTACTCTGTATTCCTGTTACTCCTTCCAAAGTGAATCACCTCACACTTTTCCGCATTAAACTCCATTTGCCACCTCTCAGCCCAGCTCTGCAGCTTATCTATGTCCCTCTGTAACCTACAACATCCTTCCGCACTATCCACAACTCCTCCAACTTTGGTGTCATCCGCAAATTTACTAACCCATCCTTCTACGCCCTCATCCAGGTCATTTATAAAAATGACAAACAGCAGTGGCCCCAAAACAGATCCTTGAGGTATACCACTAGTAACTGAACTCCAGGATGAACATTTCCCATCAACCACCACCCTCTGTCTTCTTACAGCTAGCCAATTTCTGATCCAAACTGCTAAACCACCCTCAATCCCATGCCTCTGTATTTTCTGCAATAGCCTACCATGGGGAACCTTATCAAACGCTTTACTGAAATCCATATACACCACATCAACCGCTTTACCCTCATCCACCTGTTTGGTCACCTTCTCAAAGAACTCAATAAGGTTTGTGAGGCACGACCTACCCTTCACAAAACCGTGTTGACTATCCCTAATCAAATTATTCCTTTCTAGATGATTATAAATCCTATCTCTTATAATCCTTTCCAACACTTTACCCACAACCGAAGTAAGGCTCACTGGTCTATAATTACCAGGGTTGTCTCTACTCCCCTTCTTGAACAAGGGGACAACATTTGCTAGTCTCCAGTCTTCTGGCACTATTCCTAAAGACAATGACGACATAAAGATCAAAGCCAAAGGCTCTGCAATCTCCTCTCTAGCTTCCCAGAGAATCCTAGGATAAATCCCATCCGGCCCAGGGGACTTACCTATTTTCACACCTTCCAGAATTGCTAACACCTCCTCCTTATGAACCTCAATCCCGTCTAGTCTCATAGACTGTATCTCAGTATTCTCCTCGACTACATTGTCTTTTTCCTGTGTGAATACTGACGAAAAATATTCATTTAGCACCTCTCCTATCTCTTCGGACTCCACGCACAACTTCCCACTACTGTCCTTGACCGGCCCCAATCTTACTGTAGTCCTTCTTTTATTCCTGACATACCTATAGAAAGCTTTAGGGTTTTCCTTGATCCTACCTGCTAAAGACTTCTCATGTCCCCTCCTGGCTCTTCTTAGCTCTCTCTTTAGGTCCTTCCTGGCTAACTTGTAACTCTCAAGCGCCCTAACTGAGCCTTCACGCCTCATCTCTACATAAGCCTCCTTCTTCCTCTTGACAAGAGATTCAACTTCTTTAGTAAACCACGGTTCCCTCGCTCGACCACTTCCTCCCTGCCTGACAGGTACATACTTCTCAAGGACACGCAGTAGCTGTTCCTTGAACAAGCTCCACATTTCAATTGTGCCCAGCTCCTGCAGTTTCCTTCTCCATCCTATGCATCCTAAATCTTGCCTCATCGCCTCATAATTGCCTTTCCCCCAGCTATAACTCTTGCCCTGCGGTATATACCGATCCCTTTCCATCGCTAAAGTTAGAATTCAGGAACTGATATCAAAAGTAGGTCCATTCTGATCATTTCTTCTCTCAGTCTTGCCCCACTGCCTGGGTATCAGACTGCTTGAAAAGTGTAAATCTACTCAAGGCAGGACAGCTACCCCAGTTTGGATTCAGTTGTGATATCTGGCACATAGGTTCAATAAGTTCTAACCTGGATTTCCTGTTCCCATGGCAACCATTCTAGCCTGTTGCTGGATATAGTCCAATACAATATTATCCACCATTTGCAGAGCATTCTGTTTTCCTTAAAACTAAAGAAAACAATGCAAACAACTGAAACCTTTCATTTGGAATATCATATCCTTCCTAAAGTGTGATGACCAACACTTGGTGCAACATTCTAGTTGTGATTTAACCCGAACTTAAGAAGGTTCAGCATAACCTCTCTGCTTTTGCTCTCAATGCTTTTCCTTTTGAAGCCCAAGATTTGATGTGCTTTACTAATCTTTTTCACGACATTTCCTGACATCTTCAAAGATTGATGCATATGCATCCCCAGGGCCCTCTGTCCCTGCACAAACACTTTACAGATGTGTCACAAGGTACCTATTACCTCTCCCAATCTGTTTGCCTAAAATGCATCACCTCACCCTGTGTGTTAAATTCCATTTGCTACTTGTCTGCCCATTCTGCTAGCCTGTGTCCTGTTACAGAAGATTAGTACCACCCTCAGAGGTCACCACTTCTCCAAATCTGGTATGATTAGCAAATGTTGTAATTATACTCAGTATTGCAATATAGAAGTTACTTAGAGCATTAAAAAAAAACACAATAGCCCTAGTATTAACCTTGAAACATACATCTTCCAGGATAAAAAATAACTATCTATCAACCTCACTGCTTTCAAGACAGGGCTCCTTTCCTAGTCAACACTGACTGTCCTATTCTGAGAGAGAATTTAGTTAACCAGCCATTTAAATTATACTATGGCAAGTACTCTGTTTCTTCATTTTCACATTATTCCTTTCATCAACCTTCTCAGCTATTTCATCAAAAATTCAACAAGATTATTCAAGTAAAACCTGCCTTTTAAAAATCTATGTTGCCTCTCCTGAATTAACTTAAACTTCTCCAAGTGCCTGATGATTTTTCCCCAATAATTTTTGAGAATTTTACACATGACAAGTGTTAAACTCAGTGTGCTGTATTTGCCTGGTATGTCCTTTTCACCCATGAATGAGAGTTTCAAATTTGCCAATTTACATTCTTCTGGATCTCTCCTATGATCAGGAAAGATTAGAAGGTTATGGCAAGCCTTTCCACCTTCCTGGGATGCAAGATACCAGACCAAGTGACTTATCCAGTCCAAGCATATCCAGTCTTTCCAATATAATCTGCTTCTCAGTTTTCATTCCATCCATTGCCTGTCTCATCTCTGCTCTACCAATATTTTTCAGATTTCTCTGGTCAACAACTTGTTTAGCCATGTTTACATAATCATGTACCCAGTGCTGAATTTATACCATGGTACATTCTGGAAAAGTGAATAACTGTGAATTGTTTAAAATCATAGACCCTGTAAATCTATAAAACGCTAAATGTGATCGTGATAATTTTTGACTTAATTGGAATAGCAGTAGCAACCTTCTGTAAGATAAGATTTCTAGGAAAAAAATTGTAAACACATCCTAAGGGCTGTCACTTTGCAGTAGTAGTGTCTCTACCACTAAGCCAGGAATCCTAGTTCCAAAGATGTATCATAACATATCTCAATAGCTTGATTAGAAAATAGGTACAAATAGATCCCAAACCACTAACGAGTTTCAGCAGCCTCTGTTACATTACTCAACTTTGTGCTGCTTTTAGTTATGGGGCATCAGGTACCTTAGTTTGTGGTTTGTGATGCAGAGTTACGCCAGCAGAGAGGGTTCAATTCCCACACTGGCTCAAGTTACTGTGAAAGTCTCATCTTCTCAATCTCACCCCTCACCTGAGGTGTGATGACCCTCAGGTCAAACTCACCATCAGTTGTCCCTGTCATGAGAAAGCTGCCTTATGCCCTCTAGGACTATGGTGACTTTACCTTTACTTTATTCAGTTACCTGTGAAGCAGTTTGCTATGATGATTTAACACCATTTACATCTACTTTGTTTTATGCTTTTCTATGTTGTTTATTCAACTCTTTTTAGCTTTCACTTAATTTACCTGGAGAAACTGAAAGTGAAAATTTATTTGGACTGCTGATGTTAATTAATGTGTAATGTCTATGATTATGCTTTCTTAACTTAGGGATTTATCCTTCATTAAAGTAATTAATGTTGGTCGACGATTTCTAGTGAACAGAGTCCAGGATTATATTCAAAGTAAGATAGTTTATTACTTGATGAACATTCATGTCTATCCACGTACTATCTACCTGAGCCGGCATGGAGAGAGTGAATACAACAGAGTTGGGAGGCTTGGCGGTGATGCAGGGTTATCGTGCCAAGGAAAACAGGTACAAAAAAGTGTTTTATTTAAATGGTCTGATTTATTTAATAAAATGCATGGAAGTGATGCACTGTTCTCAACAGAATTATAGTTAGGTTCACACACCGGAAACAACATTAATCTTTTTCTACAATAAAACAATGCGGACGGTAGAAATCTGAAACAAAGACAGAAGTTACTGGAGAAACTCGGCAGTTCTGACAGCATCTGTGGAGAGATAGCAGAGTTAATATTTTGGGTCCAGCGACCCTCCTTCTGAACTTCTGAAGAAGGATCATTGAACCTGAAACATTAACTAATCTCTTTCTATTGTATTCCTTTTGCAAACTTGAAGTTTGCCTTTTGCAAGCTGAAGTAACTAACTGGGGTTGATAAATAACAGTTAAGACAGATTAATCATGTGCGAGTAAATTTTAAGAATTGATTGGCATTGTATTTGAAAAAAGTCTTTTAAACAAATTGTACTTATTAGTAAGTATTAATTTTTTGATTTTCTTTCACAGTATGCTGAAGCCTTGCGTAAGTTTGTTGAAGAGCAGAAAATTCCTGACCTGAAAGTTTGGACCAGTCAGCTAAAGCGAACAATTCAAACAGCAGAAGCCCTGGGAGTTCCTTATGAACAGTGGAAAATTCTCAATGAGCTTGATGCAGTAAGTACAAAATAAATGTAACTTTAAGTCATTTTATTAAGTGATTCTTTTTCATTTAATACATAAATGAAATTGAAAATGAATTGAAAGGAAAATTGTTTTTTAACTGCAGCTGTAAGTTCCAATAATTTTTTTTAAGAAGTACCTTTTACAGTCACGTTTCTACTGTACTTACCCATTCTGCATTGGAGTAAAAAAAAAAGCGGTTACATGCATTGAACTTTAATTACAAAATCAGTTTAAAGTTTATCTTTACATTTTGGAAGCTGTGGAAATGCTTTTGTATTATATATTAGTTTCATGGTTTGGTGTCTGCAAATAAATGTGCTTCACTTCACTTTGAAGGGTGTTTGTGAAGAATTGACTTACAGTGAAATTCAGGACAGTTATCCAGAAGAATTTGCTCTGAGAGACCAGGACAAATACCATTACCGCTACCCAGGTGGAGAGGTATGTGAGAAGGGATTATTTTCTACATTCAACATTTTGTAAGTTGGAGTAATAGGAATTATAGCATCAATACTATTCAGTGCTAAGTTGACTCCTATCCCTTAAGAGTGGGTTACTAAATATAAGGAGCAAGGACATCTTGTGACAAACATATAAAACATTAGATAGGTCACAGATGGAATACTGTGTGTAGTTCTGGTCAGCACACTATTGGAAGGACGTGATTGCATTAGAGAGAGAGTGCAGAGGAGATTCACCAGACTGTTCCCTGGAATGAAAGATCTCAGGTTTGAGGATAAACTGGATGGGCTGGGTTTGTTTCTGTTGGAGCCGAGGAGGCTGAGGCGGGGGGATCTGTATGAGACTTTAGACAGAGTAGATAATGAGAATCTCTAACCCCAATGCAGATGTGTCTAAGACCAGAGGACATAAGTCTAAGGTGAAGGGCAAGTTGTTTAAAGAAGACCTGAGAAAACACTTTTTTTCACCAAGAGTGTGGAAGAAGTATGGAATGGAATTCTGAGATAGCGACCTAGATCTAGCATTGCTTACAAAGCATGTGGCTGCAGACTCCTGTGACATGAATGGAAAGATGGTCATATTGTTGAACTTATGACAAGTAAATACATTTAAGACAATTAGCTTTGGTTTCAATTCAGGTCAGAAAACACAAGAATTGAGTTCAGAAACAGGTTCTTACAGTTCAGTTTGGACAACACCGGAGCTTAATTCAGAAGCAAATTTTAGTTCCACTCCGAGTAGGAGTTTCTCAGTTTGGTTCCAAGGAGCCAGTCACCCCACAGAAGTGTCTGGTTTGTAAAACTGCCTTGGAGAGTTTGGATAGAAATCTTCAAGTTATTGGAACTGAGAAAGTTTAGGCTGTCAGATTTGTGAAGAGTTCAAGCTAGCAGACTGGGAAAGAAATCATGAAATTCTCTCTAAAGCCCATGGGAAAGAGCCTGGAAGGAGTCAGTTTAGGAAAAACCCAAAGATTGAAATGTAGTGTAATACACTCACCTTTTGAGTATTTTGAGCTGTTTCTGCTTTTGTATTAGACCAGCTATAAAACTCATCACTAGATGGCAATATAAGCACAAGTTGAATTAAAATCAGAGAGCTTTTTATAATAAGTACTTGAGAATGGAGAAGGTAAACCCAACATCTTCCTTTTCTATGGGTACTGCCTGATCCACTGTTATCTCCACTGTTATCCCCATGCAGATGGCCTCAAGGCCCTCCGCTTCTTCCTGTCCCGCAGGCCCGACCAGTCCCCCTCCACTGATACCCTCATCCGCTTAGCCGAACTCGTCCTCACACTCAACAACTTCTCTTTCAATTCCTCCCACTTCCTACAGACAAAGGGGGTAGCCATGGGTACCCGCATGGGCCCAAGCTACGCCTGCCTCTTTGTAGGTTACGTGGAACAATCCCTCTTCCGTACCTACACCGGCCCTAAACCCCACCTCTTCCTCCGTTACATTGATGACTGTATCGGCGCTGCCTCGTGCTCCCACGAGGAGCTCGAACAGTTCATACACTTCACTAACACCTTCCACCCCAACCTTAAGTTTACCTGGACCATCTCTAACACCTCTCTCCCCTTCCTGGACCTCTCTGTCTCCATATCGGGCAACCACCTAGAAACCGATATTCATTTCAAGCCCACCGACTCCCACAGCTACCTAGAATACTCCTCCTCCCACCCACCTTCCTGCAAAAATGCTATCCCCTATTCCCAATTCCTTCGCCTCCGCCGCATCTGCTCCCAGGATGAGGCATTCCACTCCCGTACATCTCAGTTGTCCTCGTTTTTCAAGGACCGTAACTTCCCCTCCTCGGTGGTCGAGAACGCCCTCAACCGTGTCTCCCACATCTCCTGCACCTCATCCCTCACACCCCGTCCACGCAATAAAAACCAAAAAAGAATCCCCCTCGTCCTCACGTACCACCCCACCAACCTCCGGATCCAACGCATCATCCTCCGACACTTCCGCCATCTGCAATCCGACCCCACCACCAAAGACATCTTTCCCTCCCCACCCTTATCTGCTTTCCGGAGGGACAACTCTCTCCGTGACTCCCTTGTCCGCTCCACACTCCCCTCCAGCTCCACCACACCCGGCACTTTTCCCTGCAACCGCAGGAAGTGCTACACCTGCCCCCATACCTCCTCCCTCACCCCCATCCCAGGCCCCAAGAAGACTTTCCACATCAAGCAGATGTTCACCTGCACATCTGCCAATGTGGTATATTGCATCCGCTGTACCCGGTGTGGCTTCCTCTACATCGGGGAAACCAAGCGGAGACTCGGGGACCGCTTTGCAGAACACCTACGCTCGGTCCGCAACAAACAACTGCACCTCCCAGTCGCGAACCATTTCAACTCCCCCTCCCATTCCTCAGACGACATGTCCATCCTGGGCCTCCTGCAGTGCCACAACGATGCCACCCGAAGGTTGCAGGAACAGCAACTCATATTCCGCTTGGGAACCCTGCAGCCCAATGGTATCAATGTGGATTTCACAAGTTTCAAAATCTCCCCTCCCCCCACCGCATCCCAAAACCAGTCCAGCTCGTCCCTGCCTCCCTAACCTGTTCTTCCTCCCACCTATCCCCTCCTCCCACCTCAAGCCGCACCTCCATCTCCTACCGACCAACCTCATCCCGCCCCCTTGACCTGTCCGTCCTCCCTGGACTGACCTATCCCCTTCCTAACTCCCTACCTACACTCACCTTTCCTGGCTCCATCCCCGCCTCTTCGACCTGTTTGTTTCCTCTCCACCTATCCTCTCCTCTATCCCTCTTCTATCCGCCTCCCACTCTCTCCCTATTTATTTCAAAACCCTCTTCCCCTCCCCCTTTTCTGATGAACGGTCTAGGCCCGAAACGTCAGCCTCTCTGCTCCTATGATGCTGCTTGGCCTGCTGTGTTCATCCAGCCCTGCACCTTGTTGTCTCGGATTCTCCAGCATCTGCAGTTCCTACTATCTCCAGCATTTGTTGTTTTTGGTATCTTCGTTTTACTACACTGTATTGTGTTTTTTTTTCATAAACATATTTCAGCAGGCCCTCAGTTATTGCAGTTTATTCAGCATTAAGATTTGATTTTTCTCATTCAGCAACTTGTTATATTCAGTCTCAAACGCTGTCACATTGTATTTGCTGTAGGTCATCAACTTTCCACATTGAATTCTCCTCTTGTAGTTGTCTGCATTAAAACTACAACTGCAGTAGTTTTAAAACTAAGCTAGTTGATCTCCCATGATGTTACTTGGACAGAGTTGAGGCCACGTGAAGTCTTCAAGGATGTCAAGTTTGATGCTGAGAACAATTAGGCCAGATTACACGGGTGTAATTCAATCTGCATTCTGAAGTACTTGTTTATTTTCCTTTCCGTTAAAATTTTCTGCATTACCCCTCTTTACAAAGAGTGTAATTGGAATCATGGAGAAGTACACCATGGAAACAGACCTTTTCGTTCCAACTCGTCCATGCTGATCAGATATCCTAAATTCATCTAGTCCCATTTGCCAGCATTTGGCCCATATCCCTCAACCCTTCCAATTCATATACCCATCCAGGTGCCTTTTAAATATTGTAATTGTACCAGCCTCCACCACTTCCTCTGGCAGCTCATTCCATACACGCACTACCCTCTGCGTGAAAAAGTTGCCCCTTATTTCCTTTTAAATCTTTCTCCTCTCACCTTAAACCTATACCCTCTAATTTTGGACTCCCCCACCCTGGGGAAAAGAACTTATCTATTTACCCTATCCATGCCCCTCATGATTTTATATACCTCTATAAGGTCACCCCTCAGTTTTCGACACTCCAGCGAAAATAGCCCCAGTCTATTCAGGAACAAAAACAAAGTTGCTGGAAAAGCTCAGCAGGTCTGACAGCATCTGTGGAGGAGAAAACAGAGTTAACGTTTCAGGTCTGGTGACCCTTCCTCAGAATAGCCCCAGTCTATTCAGCCTCTCCCTATAGCTCAAACCTTCTAACCCTGGCAACATCCTTGTAACTATTTTCTGAACCCTTTCAAGTTTCACAAAATCCTTCCTACAGCAGAGAGACCAGAATTGAAAGCAGTATTTCAACAGTGGCCTAACCAATGCCCTATACACTCGCAACGTGATGTCCCAACTCCTATACTCAATGCACTGACAAATAAAGGCAAGCATACTAAATGTCTTCTTCATTATCCTATCTACCTGCGACTCCACTTTCAAGGAACTATGAACCTGCATTCCGAGGTCTCTTTGTTTAGCAACACTCCCCAGGATCTTATCATTAAGTGTATAAGTCCTGCCCAGGTTTGCCTTTCCAAAATGCAGCACCTCACATTTGTCCAAATTAAACTCCATCAGCCACTCCTCGGCCCATTGGCCCATCAGATCAAGATCTCATTGCACTCTGAGGTAACCTACTTTGCTGTCCACTACACCTCCAATTTTGGTGTCATCTGCAAACTTAGTAACCATACCTCCTATGTTCACATCCAAATCATTTATATAAACGACGAAAAGCAGTGGGCCCAGCACCAATCCTTGTGACACACCACTGGTCACAGGCCCCCCCCATCTGAAAAGCAACCTTCCACCACCAGCCTCTGTCTTCTACCTTTTGAACCGGTTTTCTATCCATATGGCTAGTTCTCCCTGTATTCCATGTGATATAACCTTGCTAAACAGGTCGAATCTTGTTGAATGCCTTATTGAAGTTCATATAGATCATGTCCACTGCTTTGCCCTCATCAATCCTCTTCATTACTTCTTCAAAAACTTCAATAAAGTTAGTGAGACACTATTTCCCACACACAAAGCAATGTTGACTATCCCAAATCAGTCCTTGCCTTTACAAATATATGTAAATCCTGTCTTTCAGGATTCCCTCCAATAGCTTCCCCACCACTGACATCAAGCTCACCGGTCTAGAGTTCCCTGGCTTTTCCTTACCACCTTTCTTAAATAGTGGCATCACATTAGTCAACTTCCAGTCTTCCAGCACCTAATTATTCCATTGTAAATGTAGGCATACAAAATTGCTATAGAAAATTGGCAGGTAATGTACGTTTAATATTTTTATAATTAACCCTTTTTTTAAAATCAACCTGTTTAGAGATGTTATTACACATCTCTGTGGCAGGTAAGACTTCATCTCAGGCCTCCTGGTGCAGTGGTAGGGATTCTATCACTCTGCCACGAGAGGGTGCACCAATATTAGAAGTTAACTATCAGCATGCAAATCATAATTGCTTTTTGGTTTAATCCGTGGACTGTACCTGATTTTAAAAATCTGTCATCAGTGGAACTAGACCGGTATTAATCACAATGTCCATCAGATGTTAAAAAGAGCATCTTGCTATGCTTTGTTATGTGATCAATTTTGACAGCTTCAATAAGGAAAATATTAGATGTTAATGTTGTAGCAGTTGTGAGACATTTGCATTTTTCACATCTAAACCATTCACAGAGCATTGATTTTTTTCTTTCTGTTTAGGATTTTCTAAATTCTCAAAGTATATACAGGGGTTCCCAATTTATGATTATCGGACTTAACAAGCTCTCTTTGTACCTACCAATGTGATCCAATACAGCGGTATAATTTTACACACTTGACGTACGAATTGCTACTTGACAGTGGTACTGCATTGTGCTCTGACCTGCATACAAATCAATTTGCGAACAGAATCCATTCGCAAATTGGACATAGCCTGTATTTGGAGATATGTACCACAATGTTTCCTTTTTAGTAACACATCTACTTGTGTTTAGTCCTACCAGGATTTGGTCCAGCGGGTGGAGCCTGTCATCATGGAGCTAGAGAGACAGGGAAATGTTCTTGTTATTGCACACCAGGCTGTCATGCGGTGCCTTATCGCTTACTTTATGGATAAGGGAGCAGGTACAGTGAAAAGAAAGTGAACAGTATTATACCTTTCAGACTTTTCCTTTCCCTTCTCCATTTTTGTTTTCTGCTTAATTTTCCTAACGTTCATACGCAACAAGACACACTTTCCTGAATATTGACTGTCATTCTTCATTTATAAACCTTGACAGTGAGTATTAATACCATGTTGATGAACTGTAAAGGCTCGCGGATGAACTCACCATGGACATACACTTTTCAGCTGAACATACACTTTCCAGCTGATTTCATTTAATGATGAGAAATGAGAACTTAAATACCCCTCACCTCTGCATCCCTGAGACCTTTTGTTGCATTTACTATCAATACTCTGACTGAGATCAACTCTTGTTTACTTTGTTTTCAACATTTTCTCTCCTCTCCTGAAATGTTCACTCTGCTGGAATGTCATTTCACAGGTACCTCTACCACTTGCACAAATGGGCATTACGGATGTAAGCGTAGCCTGTGAGTGTCAGCAACTTATTTGACCAGTTGCTTTTAGAACAGAACACACAGCAATCAGAAATTGTGACTTTGATTAATTTTTCCACGCCAAAACAAGAGCGTTGTGATCAGTTGTAGTCCCACTGTTGCCAAGATCAGCTAACTCCACACAGACAGTAGATTTTACCTGCATTTTCCTCTACGTACTGGATGAACTTGCTGAGCTCTACCACTGTCTTGACAGAACTGAAATTATAATTTATTTATTTATGCAAACTTTCTTTAAGTAGCTAGTTAGGATGACATGACATTCAATTTAGCAAACGTTATTGAAATGAACCCTGAAGAATTAATATTTCTCCTGGAAAGTAAGATTGAAAAGCCCAAACTATGTATAAAGCATTCATTGCTATTATTTGAATGAGTAAAACATATTCAGCCCTTTTAAAGAGATATGGGTCAATTGAAATTGCCCAGAATCCAAGATAGTATAAAAAGAGAAAGATTCCAACATTTAGGTAAGAAACAGGAGCTGGAGTAGGCCATTTGGCTCTTGAAGCTTCCCCATCATTTAATAGGAACATGATTGATCTTCTACTTTAACTCTACTTTCTTGCACCACTATCTAAAACTCTATTGGTGTCCATCATGAGGATCCAGGGCAATTTGACAAATTGGATCCAAAATTAGCGTAGTGGCAGAAAACAGTGTATGATGGTCAAAAGGTTGTTTTTTGGACTGGAAGCCTGTGACCAGTGGTGTGTACCACAGGGTTCGGTGCTCAGTCTCTTGCTTTTGGTAGTGTATATTAATGGTCTTGACATGAATGTAGGAAATTAGATCAGTACGTTTGCTGATGATATGAAACTTGGTGTAACTAACAAAGAGGAAAGACTGCAGGACAGTACAGATGGGTTGATCAAATAGTTCAATGGAATTGAATTCTGAAATGGGTGAGGTGATGCATTTTGTTTCTTCCTATCTTGACTCCATGTTTTCTCCCTTCAATCAGTCTCTTTCCACTTATCCTAAGACCAGAAAACATTGGAGCATAAGTAAGCCATTCAGCCCATCATGCCCTCTCCACCATTCAATGAGATTGTGGCTGATCTAATAATTCTCAACTCCAATTTTATGCCTTATCCCCATGATACTTGATTTCCTTAATGATCAGAAATGTTTCTTGAATTTACTTAACAACCCAAAATCAACAACCCTCTTTGGTGAATAATTCCATAGATTTACCTGCCTGTTGAGGAGAAAAATAAACTCTTCATCCTTGTTTTAAATGGGCGACTTTTTACTCTGAGATTATGCCCTCTGGTCCAAGACTCTCCCACAAATGGAAACAGTCTCTTCACATTAACCCTATCAAGCCCTTAAGAATCCTATTGTTTCAGTAAGGTTTTTTAATCATTCTCATATGAGTACAAGCCCAATCTACTCAACCTCTCTTCATAAGAAAATCACTCCACCCACGTGAACTTTCTCGGAATTGCCTCCGATGCCAGTATATTTATTCCTGGGCAAGGGGACCAAAATTATTTACAGTATATCAGCTGTGTTCACACCAGTGCTTTGTATTGTTTTAGCAAGACCCCCTCTATTTATACTCCATTGCATTTGAAATAAAGACCAACATTCCATTTTTCTTTCCCATTACCTACTATGCTCCAGGTTATTGTGATTCTTGCACTAGACCCCCCAAATCCCTCTATGCTACAGCTTTCTGCAGCCTTTACTCATTTAAATAATGTTCAGCATCTCTATTATTTTTCCCATCATTGAACTGCAACTAATTTCTTTCAACAAAAACGGAGATATTGAACCCTGACCATGCAGCATATGCTAGGCTATTTGTTTAATGTTAAAACTTTAGGGTTTACTGATTTTGTTTTTACAAAGCTGGTTTAGCTCCAATTCACTCTGGACTGCTGTTACTCCAAAAAAGTTTGCAGACACCATGACTCCAGCTAAACAAGCCACCTGTTCTATTGCTGTATTTCTTCTATTATTTTCTGCTTAATAAACATGAGTTTGTTATCTTTATGAACTGCAGTCAGTAAAGTTCAGCATTTTATTATTTCCTTTGTATTTATTAACCCCTTAAATCAACAACACTCCAGCCTCTTAAGAGCCCTAGACATCAGAAATACAGTTGCATTTATTCCATTTAATCTACTAAAACACATGAACCACAAACAAGATGTTCATAGATATTGCCAATCTGCAACCTTGGTTTCTCTTATAAAGCAACAAAATAATGTTTATGTTTTGGATCTATGAGAACCAAGAAATTGCCAGTGTTTGAAACTTTTTGTACCATTATCTGGTATCATATGATTCATAGTATAAGTTAACATCCATTTTTATCACCTCTTGAAAACTGTCCTAAATCTAGTGAAGTTCATGAAATAAAAAAGCAATTGTAAGGGTCCTGCATGAAATGTGGTACAGAGGACTTAGCTGAGTATTTACTGAGTATGAATCTAATAGCAAAAAAATGCTTGAGTGTTTCAGTACAAAGTGAAGTAAAGATTGCAAGCTGATACAGAATCCACAATTTTCCTGTTTAGGGAAAGAGAAAATATGGAACGGGTACTTTGAGGTTGAAGTAACTTTGCATTGATAAAATATCACGCAAAGTTAAACAAAATCTATCAGTGAATGAAAGGCACGGTCAGTGACAAATATCGAAAGAGTCGTTCTCCTAACATTGCTAAAGTAGTTTTTTTAAAGTCACAAACAGATTTAGTACAGAACTGAGTAATGCTCGCTTTAATTCAGTGCCCCCATGTGTAACGATGATGGAAAAGAGTTTGTTGTGAACAGAATTAGCTTTTACGTCTTGTAATTTAAGATTTTCTGTTTTTGTTACAGATCAGTTGCCGTACCTGAAATGCCCTCTACATACTGTCTTAAAACTTACGCCTGTTGCCTATGGTCAGTAATGAAACTTATACTATCATTCAAATCTGTCTTAACAGTGAGCACAGGGAACGGTGGATCGGATGCTGAACTGGTTAAATTTGATTATATATAGATAGAATCCCTACAAGTGTGGAAACAGGCCCTTCAGCCCGACGAGCCCATGCCCACCTTCCAAACAGCATCCCACCCAGACCCATCTATCCTACTCTATCCCTGTAACACTACATTTCCCATGTTTAACGCACTTAACCTACACATCACTGAACACTCTGGGCAATTTAGCGTGACCAATCCACCTAGCCTGCACATCTTTGGACTGTGGTAGGAAACCGGAGCATCCAGCAGAAACCCACGCAGACACGGGGAGAATGTGCAAACTCCACACAGATAGTCGCCCAAGGGTGGAATCAAATCCGGGTCCCTGGTGCTAAGAAGCAACAGTGCTAACCACTGAGTGACTGTGCAGCTCGATTGCAGCTTTTGTCATCCTGGAATAACCATACTTCAATTTGTACTTCCAAAATAAATCCAAATCTTGAAGAATGAAGATACATTTGAAACATAATGTTACAAAGTGCTGATATCACCTTTCATACCATAGGAAGTTCATAACATAAATATTTCAGAAAGCAAATGATATATTGACTATGCTGAGAAAAGTCATACACTGTCAAATCGTCTTGTCTAGGACTCATCAAGACAGTTTGCAAGAATTAAAAATTAAAAGGGAAAACCAATTTTTATACTACATGAGGGAGAATGCTGATTGAGTGGCATGTGGACTCTGGTAGAGGTGTTGCCATGGAGAATTCTCCCATTAACGCTGATGGCTAACTGCCTAGCTCTACTTACATCTTAAATTGGGTAGATTGACTGATTAGTCAGGACATTGCTCAAAGAAAATGGACCAGTGAACAGCTGCCACCTATTTTGCTGAGCTGAAACAGGTGCTGTGCATGTATATGGTCTTTCTGTCTGCAATTTCTTAATATTTTCAGCAATTCTCAAGATTTGTACCAGCAAATGACTAAATGATTCTATGGAATTTTTTTAATGCCATTTATAGAGGAGATATCCCCATCAGTCAAGCCAATGCTCTGTTTCAACTTATTGCTGCCTGTGTTTTTGCTTTCAGACATGTATTACTGTAACAATGTTATTAAACTATGGAAACAGCACTTCTATGTTTTTCTATTCCAGAATTGGCCTACTTATCCTTAATTTGTAGTTTATTCTATTTCTTTCTTGGGCAAGATATTTGATTATAGTTTTGCACAGTACAGCTAAGAATGTACAATAATGTTTAACAAGTGTCATGCACTAAGTGAGACCCAACCAAATTTGAGAGCAGGGGAATATCATGAGTGGGGACCTAACATATCTACCAGAATTCATATTTCCAACTTCAATTCTGTTTTTATTTTGTTAAATTATGTTTCTCTTGCTTTCTCCTTTGCTATCCCTGTATCTCCAGTTATCTGTCCAGTTACCTACTGAGGACTACTTTCCGGCCTTTGTTATGAATGGAGGAGGGCAATGTTGCCCTCGTCCCACCGGGCCATGGGTCACAACAAAAAATAAAAATGCTTTTTCTGGTGATTAAGATGGCTAATTAAATACCTTATCTATATCAGATTTTAAACAACATGATCCAATAATCAGTTTTCTTAATCAATACAATTATGGGTTTATTATCAATTAAGCCTTATTCTTTAAAGTTACAGTAATTAATGAACATACATAATAGTATAAAAGCATAAATGCTTATACCTCTAAATATCCTAAAAAAAACACCCATTCTTTGCATGAAAATAAATGTTTTCTTTGGAAGAGTTTGGTTTTCTGAAAAAGAATTAGTCAATCGGTTATTGAAGACAAAAGCTAAAAGCATGGAAGGTGTCAAGAGTTTGTTGCTGTAACATTCTGACAGGTGTGGTGAAATGGCATGGATGCCTCTAACATTTTGCAGACACAACTAAAGGGAAAAAAATCTTGATGTTCCTTCAACCACTTTTTCAATTTACGCTAGGTTTCACCCCAAACTCAACTAAAGGGTTTTCTTTTAAGAAATTAGAGTTCAGCTGGGCAAGTTGTTCTTAGCAAATTTTCCTTCAACTCAGCTTGTACTTAGCAGGCTTCTTTCCAATAGAGCCAGATAAAAGCAAGAACCTTTCCAAAGCAGTCACTGTTCAAAACAGCCGCACCAGGCATCTGCAACAAGTAATTATCACCCGTAATGTGATGTCTATGAAGCCTTGTTAACAATAACCACCACAGTGAACTTCCAATTACTTCTTTTCAATTACTTCCATTCCAAGTACCTCCACAAAATCTGTTATAAACTCAGTTTCCACAATTCTTCAAAACTCAAGTTTAAATATTAAACATAATATTTTTGTAAAACCATCGCCAACACAATTCTATAACTAACTAATAGAACGTGTACAAGAGTACAAAGGGTGAAATTTGATTTATTTTTCCCTTTTCTAGAATCTATTCTTAACTTCCATTCAATTCCTTTAAGGTCAGGAACGTTTTAAATTGAAGAATCCTCATGCTCATCCCAAATCCTATCACGAATCATTGATTTTACAGCAAATTTAAAATAGCCAAGGAGACCTAATCATGGCCATAAAGTATTATTTTGGATGCTATGATTTGCAAACAAAAGTATTTATAGCTGCATTTACTGTCGCTGCAGCTGCAGGAGTGCACTTAGCTCACAAGCCACCTCAGTGCCTGTAGCATTATTGTCAGCGATGCTGCAGATAGCTGCCTGCATCAAAAAACAATGTTTTGGATGCTTTCCAATCGTTGCCTCACAGGCAACCCCTCGCCACCCTGCTCACTGTTTCACTCATCACCTTGTTTGTCACACCAGTCACCTTGCATTTGCTATCTCTCTTCTCAACCCTCTGACTGTTCTGCCCCAAATCCTTGAGACCTCATTTACTCACTGCTACTTCACTACCCAAGCGAGTGACAAAAGGGTGAGCAACTAGAGAACGTGACTGGTCAAAGCAGCACCAGCAGACTTACGACAATGATATCAGTGGCACTGACTGCCTATTCCATTATGGTGGCAGAAGATTGTGAGTATTTATATGAAAGGAAGAATGAGGAATGTGATTTTAAAGTTCTTATCCTGGTGTTCAAATCCTTTCATTGTCCCGTTGCTCTCCCTCTTTGCAACTTCTTCCAGCCCAACAACCTTTTGAGAATTTTGCATTCCTTTAATCTATTAAGTCTATCATTCATCCCCACTTCATTCATCCCATAGTGGGGCATGGTCATATCTTCAGATCTCTAGGGCTTTAAGCTCTAGCATTCCTTTTGCTTAAACTTTCTACCTCTCTCTTTTGCGTAACACTCTTTAATGCCTTTTGGTAGTTCCACTTTTTTCTTTCTTTGTTTAGTTCTCCATTTTTGTCTCCTTATGATTTTTGGCATGTTTTATTACATTGTAAGTGTTGTGTAGTAAGTTACTATTTACATTGGTAGACGTGGTGTGGGGAACTTCTAATCTGTCAAGGATGCCCATCCACATGGTGTAGCCATATATACCACTTCCTGGGAAAGGTCAAAAAAAGACCATGGCAAACCTTTATCCAGTTTAAGGAGCACCTGAAGGAATTTAATCTCCAACTCCCCGATACAAATCAGAAAAGTGGCAGGATACCGTAGCAAGCTATAAATCTTTCAAATCCCAAATAGCCTTCAACTTGTTCTCGAAATTGGAAATCTTGTTTCTGATGAAGTTGTTTCATCAGCTACTTTCTGAAGGACTGTTCTTAATCCTTAGTTACCAGTTGCTTTAATATTCCGTCGCAGAGAGTGAGAACTCTGAAAGTAAATTCTTCCTACCACTGGTTTGTTGAAGATTTTATTTGTTCCTGGGTTCCATTATCTGTCTCAAACAGCTGAATATAACCCAGTTTAATGTCACTCTTTAAAAAATTTTTCACTTTTTGAAAATTAACGTATGATTACTTCACTTTGCAGCCATTACAGTAATAAGGCAAATTAAAACCAAAGAACTGTGAATGCTGAAAATTTGAAACAAAAACATAAATTGTTGGAGAAACTCAGCAGATTTTATCTCCATGATCTCATTGAATGGCGGAACAGGCTCAAGGGGCTGAATGGCCTACTACTGTTCCCACGTTCGTATCTTTGGCAGCATCTTTGAGAAAAAAGAGTCAATGTTTCAAGTCCAGTGACCCTTCTGAACAGGGAGAATAGATTATACTAAATTAAAATATGAATATGTGGTTTGTACAATTATAGCTATTGCTGACCAACTGGCTTCTATAGCTTAATTGATCCATCGTACACAACGTGATAAGCATAAGACTGGATTCCTCATACATTAACATGGTAGAGAAAATAGTAAGTTATATGGCAGCCTTCAAACTTAAGGTTATAAACATTGCTGTAAGATGTGCTATCAGAGTGGTAACATTGGAATTTGATGTCAATGAGGAAAATCTTGAACACTGGCAAGTCTCAAAGGACAAACTGAAATCCCAAGCCAAGCAAGCCAAACTCCTGGACAGACGAGAAAAGTTGAGCCTTCCTACTGTCATTTAAACAGCTGATGTTCCAGAAGTAGAATGAATTGTTATAATCCAGAGCATTTGCATTTACACCATCAGATAACCAGACTTTTTGTTCAGTGAAAATTAGAATCCTATCAATTTCCCCATGTATGACCTCAAGATTTCTGACGATGGTTTATGAGATAACATCAGAGATAATGAGGCAGCTAAAACAGGTAAAGTGGATGGAGATAACATCGACGCTGTTGCAAACATATTTTGGCAATTCAGATTCAGCATTTTAAGGCTGCCAAATATATAAATAATATAAATTATAAAAGAACTCCAAACTTTGTAACAGTTGATTGATTCTTTTAGAAATTGCTTTTATAAATACCACTTCATAAAATCCACAAAACAGAACTTCCAGATACATTTTTCTTAAAAAATGTATTTGAAAAAATTACAGTACTTCCTGATCAGAGAACAAAATAGAGTAAAATGACACAGCATGTTAGAGTCAGGTTTTTTTGATTTTCCTTCGTTCACTGTAGATTTCAAACAGTAGATCAGGACTAATATAAGGAAAGTTTGATTTAATCTTGTTGCATTCAGATGCATTGTAGGTTCAGCAATCAGCATTTACAATTAAATGAAATCTTGGTGACTGAGTGTTCATGATATACTGCTTATAATTTCAGTGTTCATACTTAAGACTTTATTTTCTTTCAGGATGTAAAATGGAATCAGTTTACTTAAATGTAGAAGCAGTAAACACACATCGTGACCGGCCACTGGTAATGGTTCTTTGATTTTGACGAACTTTAATGTATTGTGTATTAAGTCTCAAATTACAATGCGAATGGTATTTTCTATATAATTATTCTTTTTTAAAACATATTATTCTCGGTGCAAAGATGTTGTTAGCAAATCTAGCACTGACTGCCCATCCCATGTTGCTCTTGAACAGTAGTTCTGCCTGGTAAAGTTGTTTGCAAGATGAAAAAGAAAACAGAAAATTTATGGCACAAATGCAAGCCATTCATAACTTCATGCCATTTTTGCCAAAAATAGATTACCTCGCCTTCTCCCACTTTCCAGCTCTAAAAGAGAGGTTATCAAGTTGGGTCTGGAATTTCAGAATTTTGATTCACTGATCAAAAGGGAATAACAATAGATGTTCAAACCAGTTAGTCTGTGCTTTGAAAGGTTTTGTTGCCTCCCTTAGATATTGGAATGTCCACTTTGCTCCTCAGCCCTGGAGAGATGGCGAGGTTCATAACATAAGAAAAAGGAGCAGGAGTAGGCTATCTAGCACCTCCAGTCTGCTCCGCCATTCAACAAGATCATAGCTGATCTTTTTGTAGTCTCAGCTCCACTTAGCCACCCGCACACCATAACTCTTAATTTCTCTACTGTTCAAAAATCTATCTATCTTTGCCTTAAAAACTTTCAACAAGGTAGCCTCTGCTTCACTGGGCAGGCATTTCACAGATTCACAAGCCTTTGGGTAAAGAAGCTCCTCCTCAATTCAGGACTAAATTGGTTCCCCCTTATTTGGAGACTATGCCTCCTAGTTCTAGTTTCAGCCACCAGTAGAAACAACCTCCCTGCACGCACAGTGGCTCAGTGGTTAGCACTGCTGCCTCACAGCACCAGGAACCCAGGTTTGATTCCACCCTTGGGCAACTGTCTATGCGGAGTTTGCACATTCTCCCCGTGTCTGCGTGGGTTTCCTCCGGGGGCTCCGGTTTCTTCCCACAGTACAAAGATGTGCAGGTTAGGTAGATTGGCCATGCTAAATTACCTATAGTATTCACAGATGTGTAGATTAGGTGGGTTATAGGGGAATGGGTCTGGGTGGGATGCTCTGAGGGTCAGTGTGGACTTGTTGGGCCAAAGGGCCTGTTTCCACACTGTAGGGATTCTATGATCTATGATCTAGCTCATCTATCCCCATCATAATTTTATATGTTTCTTAAGATTCCGCCCCCCCCCCATTTTTCTAAATTCCAATTGGTATAGTCCCAGCCTACGCAATCTTTCCTCACAAGCCAACCCTCTCAACTCTTAAATCAACCGAGTGAAGCTCCTCTGTACCCCCTCCAGTGCCAGTGCATCGTTTCTCAAATACTCCAGGTGCACCTTATACAGCTGCAGCATAACCTCCCTGTTTTTAAACTCCATCCCTCTAGCAATGAAGGACAATATTCCATTTGCCTTCTTAGTTACCTGCAGTACCTGCAAACCAACTTTTTGTGTTTCGTGCACAAGGACAGCCAAGTCCCTCTGCACAGCACCATGCTGCAATTTCTCACCATTTAAATAACAATCCATTTTGCTGTTATTTCTACCAAAATAGATGGCCTCACATTTATCAACATTGTAGTCCTTCTGCCAGATGCTTGCCCACTCACTTAAACTATCTATCTACCTCTGCAGACTTCCAGTGTCCTCTGCACACTTTGCTCTACCACTCATCTTAGTGTCATCTACGAACTTTGATACACTGTACTCTGTCCCCAATGCTAAATCATCTTTGTATATATCATGACAGAGACGTCTACTGTAGATGTGTTTGTCCAGGACAGTCTCAAATTTTGAAATATTACTGGTTAAAGAAAAATGAATGAATGATTTTATTGTCACACTACACTTCCATCAACTTATTGAATTTTTGATACAAGTAATAACATAATGACAATGGTAATGAATAGATGAAGCTTAAGTTAAGTGCTTGATAATAGATGAATAAATAAAGTCAGGTAATGTGGAACCAGAGAACAAGTGTAGAATTGCTAACAGAGCAAGCAGAGACCAGAAATAAAGGCCAATCATTCAAAGTAGCAGAAGGTGGGAAACAAAGATTCAATGCTGGCATTACAAATAATTTGGACTTTGGAATCAAGATCACAATCTCAGTTTTTGCATTACAAAATTGCTGGAATGATAGCCAATACTGAGGACTGCATTGAATTACAGGAGGACATTAATAAACTTACAAATAGGCAAATAATTGACGAATTAAGTTAAACAAAGGTAAATGTGAAGTGATACATTTTGTTAATAAGGAGGTCACTTATCATTTGGAAGGTGTAAGTCTGAGTGAAATACAGGAACAAAAGCAATCCCAGTCACTAAACATTGCAGTATAGGTTATCAAAGCTTTGAACAGCAAATTGGTTGATAACAATGTAGAATGGAGTTATGCTGAACTTGTATCACACCCTGATTAAACTACACGGTGGTGCCAGTTTTGATCACCATATTGAGATTATTAATCCAGAAATTCAGCTAATGTTCTGGGGTTCTGGATACAATTCCTGCCATGGCAGTTGGTGAAATTTGAATTCAATAAAAAAAATCTGGAATTAGGAATCTACTGATCACCATGAAACCATTGTCGATTGTCAGGAAAAGCCCATCTGGCTCACTAATGTCCTTCAGGGAAGGAAATCTGCCATCCGAAGGAAATCTGCCATCTTCACCTGGTCTGGTCTTCATGTGACTCCAGACCCATAGCGATATAGTTGACTCTCGACTGCCTTCTGAAATGGCCTAGCAAGGTGATCAGTTGTATCAATTGCTACAAAGTCTCAACAAAGAAATTAAAACCAGATGAATCACTTGGCATCGACCTATCACCATAAATGACCACAGTAAAAATAGCCCTGCCAACCCTGCACAGTCCTCCTTACTAACATCTGCTAGATAGTGCATAAATTGTGAGAGCTGACTCACAGATTAGTCAAAAACCAGCCTGATATAGTCATACAGAATCATACCTTACAGACAAGGTCCCAGACACCACAATCACCAACCGGACAGACCCAGCAGAGGTGGTGGCATAGTAGTATACAGTTGGGAGACTGTTGCCCTGGAAGAGCTCAACATTAACTCTGGAACCCATGAATTCTCATGGTATTAGGTTAAACATGGGTAAGGAAATCTGCTGATTGCTATGTACCATCCTCACTTGCTGATGAATCTGTACTCCTCTGCGTTGAACAGCACTTGGAGAAAGCATTGCGAATGGCATGGGTGCAGAACGTACTCTGAGTGGTAGATTTCAATGTTCATCACCAAGAGTGGTTAAGCAGCAGCACAACTGATCATGCTGGTGAGGTCCGAAAGGACATAGCTGGCCAAGACTGGGTCTGCAGCAGATGGCATGGGAACCAAAAAGAGGGTAAAATATGCTTGACCTCATCCTTACCAATCTGCCAGCTGCAGACACATCTGTCCTTGACATTGTCAATAAAAATGAACACCGCATAATCCTTGTATTGCCTTCACATTGAGAATACCTTCCATTGTATTGTGGGGTACTATCACTTTATTAAATGGGACAGACTTCAAATAGATTTAGCAGCTCAAGACTGGGCTCCATGAGGCACTGTGGCTATCAACTGCAGCAGAATTGTACTCCAGCACAATCTGTAACCTTGTGACCCAGCAGATTTCCCAATCAACCATAACAGTCAAATCGGAGATCAACGTTAGTTCAGTGGAGAGTGCAGTAACTCATCGCCTGACTCCCCAGTGCCTGTCCACCACCTACAAGGCATAAGTCAGGATTGTGATGGAATACTTCCCACTTGCCTGGATAAGTGCTGGTACATCAACAGTCAAGCTTGACACACACCATGCAGAGAAAGCAACCTGCTTGATTAGCACCACAACCACAAGCATCCACTTCCTCTTCCACCAATGTTCAGTAGCAGCAGTGTGTGCTATCTACAGGATGCGCTACAGAAATTCACCAAAGATCCTGAGACAGCACCTTCCAAGCTTAAGACCACTTCCATCTAGAGAGACAAGGGCGGCAGATACGTCAAAATGCAACCACCAGCAAATTTCTGTCCCAGCCACTCACCATCCTGACTCGGTAATATATAACCATTCCTTCACTGTCACTGGGTCAAAATCCTGGAACCACCTTCCTAAAGACATTGGACTGCAGTGGTTTAAGAAGGCACCTGCTTGATTGACATTAGATTCACAAGCATTTACTCCCTCCACCGCACCAGCAGTGTGTACAGTGTGTAAGATGCACTGCACAAGTTCACCAAGGCTCCTTAGATAGCACCTTAGATAACAAACCCACGACCAATCTCATCTAGAAGGACAAGGCCAGCAGATACATGGGAACGCCACCACCTGCACGTAACCCTCCAAGCTAGTCACCATTCTGATTGGGAAGTATATCACTGTTCCTTCAGCACTACTGCATGAAGGTCCTGAAATTTCTTCCCTAGCAGCATTGTGGGTGTACCTACATCAAATGGACTGCAGCAATTTAAGAAGGCAGCTCACCATTAGGACTGTAATGAGGAGGAATCTTATAATTTGGATGGTAGTGGAACTTTGGAATTCTCTCTCTCAGGGCTGTTTAGGCTTAGCAGTTGTGTATGTTCAAGACATAGATTGACTGCCTTCCTGATACTAAAAACATTAAGGGTTATGGGAATAATGTAGGAAAACGATGTTGAAGTAGAAAATCTGTCATGATCAAATTGAATGGTAGAGCAGGCACAAAGTGCTAAATGGCCTATTCTTGCTCCTAGTTCTCACAGTAGATTTACTTGAGGAAAGATGCAAGGAGTCTGGAATGAAGCTGAAACAATTACATGTATGTTTGGCCAGGATAGTGTGTTTCTGTACCGTATATGCGCTGTTATTTCCTCCTTCACTCTGAATTCCCACGCACAAAATTCATGACTTCAGCATTCTGTTAACATCTTTATTATGACCATTCTTTGCTACCATTGTGGAAAATATTAGTGCTCGGCCATTT